AATTCATCATACAGTATTTTTGGATTCCCTGATGTGTTCGGCCAGGCTGTACATGGAGCGAATTCCGAATTGCTGGTGTACTGCTGTCAGCACATCCCTTTTTTTCCCTTAGCATTATAAAATGTCTGTGTTGCTGCAGGCATTGCAAAACACGATTCAGAGCGCAGCCCCATGGCCTTCTGGCGCAGGCTCTGCCGGAACCCCCGCCCCGCAGCTGGCACGGGGGGAACAGTGCCGGATGCCTCCCCAAGGGAGGGAATGTGCCTGGCGGGCGGGGGGAGGGCGAGGGTGTGCCAAGGGGCAGGAAGGGGAGGTAGCTGGCATCAAGGGCTTGCATCAGTTCCCACTGCTGTCCCAGCTGCCTCCTTGCTTCCTTTCCAGCACTTGATCCAAATGGCCAAAAATGTCCATCTAGGGAAAAAAACAACATGAGGCTTGGTGGAGGTGGAGTCCGTGCCTTGGTGCCTTGTTCAGTACATCAGTTGCCCCGAACCTCTCAGTTCAGAGTTTATAGCTATTGAGGAAGGGGCCGAGAGGATGGTACCCTCCATGCAGAAGGCAGGAGGATATTATTTTAGGTTTAGATGAGTAACAGTTTCCAAAGGCTTCTTTATCTATCAGCTGATGTATTGAAAACATGTGTAGATCATTCCATAACATAAAGTTCTCTGGACAGCTTAGAATAAATAGGCACCGAACTATTTAAGTTCAAGGGAACATACTAGATGGATGGCTGAATGCAGTTGTTTCTTTTCTCTTCCCTTGGTGTTACCTCTTCTCCACACCCCAAGGCACCCAGTATCCACAAGGGGCCTTTATACCCTGTTCTTATGAGGGTCCTCTTTAGCTGAGGTCTTTTCATTTCATTTGCCTGTATTATGTTTCTCTACTGTCCAATAGCCAAAGCTCTCTGGGAGGTTTATAGAAATTTAAACCCTTCAAAATACATTTTACATCCCATAGTACTGTTTACACAATGCATACATATCTAAATGATTTTAACAATCAACAAAAAGAAAACCAGGACCCAAGACTTTATCATATGCTGCCAAATGTGCAAAGACAGAAGAAGGTCTTAATCGGACCTGAAATGATAACAAATGCCTTAGCGGAGAGAGAGTTCCATAACTAGAATAGCCGCCGCCTCTCTCTCTTGTTTCCTATTTCTGCATCTGAAGGAAGGCCTAAGATGAAGCAGATGATGAGACAGGAGAAAGCAGGTTCTTCCAAGAGAAGTGCTTCATGAGGTCTGGTGGTCTGAAGCCATGCAAGTCTCCATATGTCAAAACTAACACCTTGAATCAGGCTCAGAAACATACAAGTGGCTATCGCAGTTGGGCCAGAATCTGTGTTAACAGTTCATAACTGCTTGCCCCTGCTATCACTCCGACCATTGCATGTTACACAAGCTGCAACTTTTGAACTTTCTTGAAAAGTAGCCCCACGTACAACCCACTGCGATAATCTGCTTTGGAGGTTGCCAGGCATAAAATACTGAAACCAGGCTATGCTTGTGCAGATGGGACTGGAGCCGGGTCAGGCTGCTGAGGCCACCTGGGCCTCAAGTGACACAGCTGGCTCCAGGAGAACCCTGCAGCTATGAGCCTGCAGCTTCAGGGGGAATACAAGCTCATGCAGTCAGAAGAACCAGCCACTAAAGCACTGCAGCCCCATTTGGATTGGACATCACTTTATTAGTCCTCAGCCGGTCCAGTACTGCCGCCAGGCTCTGATCTAGCACATCTGAAGCCTCACCCGATGAAGATGAAAATGAGAAATAGATCTGCCTGTCATCAGCAGACTGATGGCCATGCATCCCAAACTCTGGATGACTGCAGTCAACCATTTCATGCAGACCTTAAAAAGGATGGGGGACACAGCTGGCTCAACCATCCCAGAAGGATACTATGGTTAATGGTATCAAAGGGCGCTGAGAAGGTCAAGAGGAATCAACCAAGGCACGTTCCCCTTGTCTCTCTTCCAGCCAGGTCATTGTGCAGGATGACCAATGCTCTTTTCCTACCAAACCCAGTTTGAGCCATGATCAAAATGGATCCAGATAATTTGGCCTTACCTTATCAGACATCATTGAATGCAGTGAGGCCACTCCCAACTCTGTGGGTCAATAGTTCGCATGCAACACATGACCTTCACCTGCCCACTGCAGAAAGCCATCTCTGCAGCAGTGTCCGTGAGAGGCTTCCATCATAAAAGTCAAGCCACGTGACTTCCAGCTGTTCACAGAAACTTTGATGCAAGTGCCATTGAAAGGAATGATGGATGGTGTCCTCTTGAAAATAGCTTTCTCATTTATCTAAACCTACAGTTATCTGCATATTTTGGATGTTTTCCCAGCCTTTGTGAGATAACTACACTATATATACTTTAATGGGTTAATTGAGTTTGGCTGTGATAACTCTCCTTTTCTGAAATATAATCACTATTTGTCAAAGCCTTTTGAGAACGTCTTCAGCATACTGGGGAAGGGAACAATGATGTGGCAGACTTTTATGTTTCAACAAGTTAGGTCAGAAGGTTTCCTTCGCAGCTTTCAAACGCACCCCTGGGTTTGCCTGATCCGCCACAGCCATCTTGCCGTGTATGCTTCTACCCAGTTTTTGAGGGGTAACCTTGTGATCTTTCCAGACAAGAGCTGCCTGAGAGCTGAAGCTCCATGGCTTTGGTTTCCAATCTCCAGCTTCTCCAAGTTCAGCTAAGTAAGAATCCTGTCCAAAAGCTGCTGCCAGTCAGTCTTGACAGGACTCAGCTAGATGGGTGAAGGATCTGATGCAGTATAAGGCAACCTCTTCTGTTCTCTGTGAAATTCTGCAACTCCATTCTTGCTTTGTAACATTCAAGTGGGGCAGGACTTGCCTGCAGGGGAAAATCCGTGAATGGGCAGGCTTATTTCTGACCCCTTTCGTGTCCCAAATACTCAGGAAATCCTTTCCCCATTATTTTGAGTTGGTTGAAAGGCAGGTTTCCCCCACCAGCCGGGCTCTTGGCATTGATGTCGATTTTAGCTGGAGATAAAAGCAGTCCTAGCTGGGGTCATTGGCAGAGTACTGAGAGGAGGAGAAGCAGGGTATCCACCATCTTGGCTGCTTGCTTGTGCTTACTGCAAAGTTCCCCCATGTCGTGAGGCTGGTGCTCCTTCCCAACAAAAGCAATCACTCCAGCAGATACTACAAACGTTTTTATTCCAAAAATCTATACATACAGAATAGAAGCAGGAAAGTTGATGAACTTTACGCCACACTTTGCTTATGAACCCTCCACGGTCGCACCCCCTGGAGGCAAGGCACAGTGAACTCTCTCTTGTCATCGTTCAGCTAATCATGATTCCATTTGTCCCGGTCTGCGTGTGCACCTGCGAGAACGAGCATCCTCAGATTCCACTTGCTCCTTATCAGTTCTGTTCTCACACTCCATATCAGAGTTTGTTCCCATGTTTACTCCCCTCAACCGCCCTGTTCCCGTGCCGCCTCCTCATCTCCTTCTGGCTCTATCCTAGTCACAACATCTGTGGGAGTGGAGTGGGAATGCTGTACTACTGGAACTAGAAATAAACCTTCACTGATGCTCTGGTTCTCACGAGAATGTTCATGCCCTTGTGCGCGCTTTAGAGACTCTTCTGAGTGCGCGTGCACAATGCCCCATCTGTCATGGTTCATGGCATGCTTCACGTGTTAATAGATCAGGGAAAGGGTTCGGCTCAAGAAGAGTAGCATGAGATTCCCACCTCCTTGGGAGCTCATTCTCCCGGAAGACCCATGGTGCCATCATGTTGCACATTCTTCCAAGTCGTCACAGCCTGAGGCCGCTGAAACACCCCAGGTCACTTCAAGGGCAGTAACCTGTGTCAGTAGGGAAGCGTGACTAATCAGCTCAAAGGAAGCCAAAACCATACTTAAGGTGCAGTCAAAGTCTGCAACTTGTTGGAGCAACATATAGGCAAGTTTGTATGGATTCCGGCCCTGGCGTCACTCTGAGCTGTCCGTGGTGCTGCGGCTCTTATATTGTCCCCAGTAGATCTTTCTCTTGTGATTTTCCAAAGCTCAGGCTTTAGTGAGTTCCAAAGCTGGGGAACCATCACAAAGGACTTCTCCTCATGGACCCTTTATTGAGACTTGGTGCATGGTTATTATATGTTCAATGATTCTTTTTGCTTAATTTGAGAGAACACACCAAACTACTGGGAGGGCCAATCTCAAGCTTAGCACAGGCATTTATTTTTAAAAGCCACTCCTTGGTGTGATGAAACTCCCAATCCAAGCTTCTTGCATTGCTGGTGAGATGAATAATAATGAAAGATTATTATCACTCTTCATATGGTAAATTGAATTTATATGCATGATGGATTAGCAAGGGGAATTGATTTTCAACTTCTGTTACATTAGCGTTGTAATTGCAGGGCCAGATCTGCCATCTGTTGCATTTGCTTCGAGCTTTCCTACTGTGAGTGGCACTTCATCTGGGGAGGGACCATCACTCACTGGGAGAGTAACTGCTGTACTGTGGACAGTCCCTGGATCAATCCTTAACTTCTCCAGTAAAAGGATCTCCTGCAGCTAGTCAGAGTAGATGGACTCGGTCGTGGTGTAGCCAATTTATTATGTTTAGGATTATAATATATTGTAAGCCTTCCTGAGATGACAGTAATGGATGGCCTATAAATATCCTAAATAAATAAAATAAATAGATAATCCTGGGTTAGACAGTCTGACCTAGTATAATGTAGTCGCAAGAACCCTTAAAAGTTTCATTGGTGTAGCAGTATGGTTGTATGCAGAATTCTATCTATTGTAGCTACCACCTGGACCTCACCTGTCTGTTAAATATTTCAGTGCTACCCATGTATAGGCTAGTGCAATTTTCCACTTTCACAGGAAGAGTAAAAATTGCCCCACTCCCCGCCCCCATTGATTCAAATAAATGAAGGGAAATGTTGTATGCTTCAGCGGCATCATCCAGATTCTTACCCTGTGGTTTAATTGCAGGTTTGTCCCTGAGCCATGGTCCCCTTGCAGTGCTTCTTGTGGCCGTGGTGTTCAGGTGCGTGATGTGAAGTGCCGTATTTATCTCGCATTTACTCAGACTGAGGTGGAACTCCCTGATGAAGAGTGTGAAGAGCCCAAACCAGCAGCTGAACGTAGTTGTCACATGGAGTCCTGTGATGGTGACCCTTTCCCGTTCATCCCAGAATATGCACCCTCTGAAGAGCCTGACATTGAGGCTGATATAATCTATGACTGGGAATACATCGGGTTTACCCCATGCTCAGCTACATGTATCGGAGGTAAACAGTTAACGTTAAAGGTTTTTCAGGCATTAAGAACAACCTTGCAAATTGTAGGCCATTTAACAACTAGTCAATCTGTGAACTAGATCAAAGAATGATAGAACGAGTTATCTGCAAAGGCAGGCTTCATTTCTTAAACGTTCGTCCATTCTTCCACCCGCTCCTGGAGGCTTCGGACCTGAAGGTGTTGCCGTAGCTCAATGGTGCAGCACACGCTTTGCATTCAGAAGGAATTTGGTGTTTTAAACCCTGATCTTAGAGCACAATCCTGGGCATGTTTAGGTGGAAAAAGGACTAACAATACCCAGAATTCCCCAACCAGCTTTTTTCTGTATAAGCATGTTCAGGATTGAAACTTTTGGTGTGAGGGTATGGCCATCAGTATTACTTCAGTTGTGAAATGCACAGCTAAGCCTTCCTTTTCCCACCCCACCACCATAAACTGGCGTCTTTGTGGACTGGAACCATTTTGGATCCCAAGTTCCAGTACTAGGAAGCTGGTGGCTGCAACATCGGTGAAGTTCCAGGTTTTACCCCAAATGCTTAAGGAGCTAGCCATGAAGTCAAGCTGGGGGCCCCCCCGCGGGGGGGGGGGCTCAGCACCATGGATAGCTCAGAAAAAGTTTGCTGTGGGGCCTAGAGGGGATGCGCAGTGCCAGTTACTTTGGGGCTGGCGGCCTTCTCCGCTGTTCCCTTGAGAGGAGGTTCTGGCTCTAGGTCAACGCCTTCCACTGTGCGCCTCCATCCTCAGTTGCAGCACACGCATGTGGTCGGGATGGATGAGGGGTTCTGCCTGTTTTTTCCATTCCGGGGTGCACAGGTTTGGCATGCTTTGAAACACTGGGAAAAATTAGTATTGCATATCAAGTACTTGTGCTGTGTGGCTCAATATTTTGATACACCCTTATAACAGAGTCAGGATCTCCATATTTCAGAAATACTTTACATAAATAGCATTCCCCAGTTGACTGAGTTCATGAACAAGAATGTCATTCATTTTAAATTACTGCTTGGAGGCAAGCACTTAATCCCCCCCCCCGCAAATTACTTGCTAGCCTTAGCAGTAGTTGATATTATTGACTATTAAATTGGGCTTACTGATAAATGCACCTTTCCCTTTCCAATGTCAATTTTCTTTAACTTTCTATTAATAAAATAACCAGCAAAATGAGGCATCAATTGAGTGTAATTGCTTATTGGATAGAGACACTGTCTCTGAGAACTATAACTTCACCATTATATTTTTCAGTATTTGAGGTAGTATAAATTGAAACCATCAAAGCCCTGTCATGGGCTCTTAGATTATGATGATACATCTTGACGTCCTTGGAGAAAAGCTGCTCCATTTGGGTTCATTGGCTAAACTACAGCATCATGCACAACTGCCGTGCCACAGTTAAGCACTTCTAAATCTGATTGACTCTGATGTGTTTCGAAAGGTTTTTACCCTGTGAAGCTTCCGTAGCCAGTCGGAGCTCCTAATGCTGCCCCAGGCCATTGCCATTCCATGCTCCTCTGTTGGAGCAAGACTTAATTATGGCACTGCTAAGCCTACACTCCTGCCTAATGACCCTTCTGCTCTTCTGCTTCATCTTAGCAACTCAACCCTACCCTGAGGCAGAGTGAGGCAGTTGCCTCAGGCAGCAGATGAGGGAGGTGGTAGCAAGCTGTTGCGAGTGGAAGCTGTGCTCCCGCAGACTAGCCTGCTGCTTCCAGGCAGGATGGAGGGAGTTGGCCCATTGCCAGAGTTGGAAAAGCTTCAGCAGCCAGGCCAGTCAGCCTTAGTACCTGGAATGGGAGAGGGTGGGGTGGCCCCTTCCCGGGGACGCGAAGGGCTGCACGTGTCCTCTGTTGCATTGCATTGGCAAAAAGGCTGCTCAGCAGTGCTCTGTAGCCACAGTGTGAGTGTAGATCCTGGATTTATAGGAGGGCGCCTTCCAGAAAGCCCTGCTGTGCCTCTTCGCTTGTGGATCTCTTCTCTTCTCTTCCCTTCTTCCTCTACATTCCTGACAGTTTAGAGAAAGAATGAAAAGTTTGTTTTCCAACACTGATGATGATGTTGATGATAAATCTGAGCATGTCTGGTTCTGCATTGAAAACTCACTGAACTCCAAATACCATTATGACTACAGGAATAAAATGGAGTTGGCTTCTTCTCTGGTGCCAAAAAAAAATTGCATGGAAATTAACATCATTTTGTTGCAGAGGGAATTATTTATTTCATTTCTATACCACTCCACAGCTGAAGTTCTCCAGGTGGCTTACACAGTCCATTAAAACTAATGATAAAAATGCAATTAAAATATCAGAAAATTAGAAAAGTATTTAAAAGCTTAAAACAGCTAAAATAGACAATAAAAACAGATAATAGCAAGGAATAACAAAAGCAATACATTTTAACCTGAAAATAATAAAAGGCACATCTGTAGCTATATAGCTGCCCAGCTGGCCATACCCTGATGATAGAAGGTTTTGCAAAACAAGTGGCAGGAAGGAATTGGAGGCGAGCAGTAGCACCTCAGGGGGACTTGGGACCCCCATGAGTGCCCCGTACTGATTCCAGGCTTGTGGCTGCTGCCTCAATCATTTGCCCCACCCTCAAGCAGGGGGCCCCAGACTTTGGCCTAAAGGCCCAGCCTAGGTGCACCTCTGCATTGTGTCTTAGGGCCAGATCAGGCACTTTTATAATTGCTTCCTAAGTAACCATGCCTGTTTTTGTTTTAATTAGCACTAAACATCTGTGTGAGGGTGGTTTTCACTGGGACTGTGCCACAGGGAGGTTTAATACCTTTCTCCCCAGTTGCAGTCCTAATAAATATTTGGATTTTTGTTTGCACAGTGTAGCAATAATGACTGTTAGAAAAAGTTTTCCATTGGCACCAGTGGGAGCTTTTTCTAGCAGTAATTACCTTACAAGGGGAGGATTTTTGTCAAGAGCTTCCTCTGCACATCACCCAAACCAAGATGTGCTTGTTAACCACACAATTAAACTAACTAACCTAACCTAAATTGCCCATTCCTAGCAAAACTTTTGTTGCTATAGCTCTGACAAAGAATTCCTTCTTAAATTGGTTCATTATATCGAAAGTCCTTCTCCCTTTGGGGTTGGAATCCAAGCATGCACTATGCCCTGGAGGAAGTGTGGCATGTCACAGTAGATGCAATCAGAGTAGGGCTGCACAACTTCCAGGACTTACTGGCCTGCATCCCCCCCGCTAAATCCAGGAGGGAGCAGAACATCCCCCTCCCTCCAAGGGGAGCCCACACCTTGTTTAAAAGCAGGGGTTCACATCGAGTTCCTAGCGTGCAATGCCACTCAACAGCAAGGTGAACCTGCATTGATCTAAGAGAGATTTAGGAAGACAGGCGGAAGCAGGAAACCTCTTTGGATTCTGCAGGGCAATGGTCCCCAGGGCAGTGCCCGTGAGCACCTTCACTGACGTTTAGGGAGGGCTTGCTAACATGGTTCTTGCGAGTGCCCACCCAAGTTTTTATTATTCCTTCTGCAATTTTAAATCATTGTTATACTACATGGATTTGTATATATCTACAGTACTGAATTCATGTGAAATGTATAGAACTTTCTAACAATTGCACTTAAGCTCTGACAAAATTGGATGTACTCTCCAAATAGGTACCTGTTTGAAGGTAGACTCTATGTGCCACTTGTCCAAATATTGTAAGTGTTGCGACATGTAGACATCATTTTGTGGTGGTGCCAAAGCCGGTTCTCAAATTCCCAAAGGATCCCAGGGGTCCTTGTTGGGGACCCTTGCTTTGGGGGACAGTGCCTGTACTTCTAAAGAGAGTACAGGACCCCTGGTATGCCATGCCTAATGTTCCCAATGTGTGTGGCTGAAACCTGCAGCTGGGGGCCATGTGTGTAGAAGAGCAGTCCCTTTCAGTGTGGCTCCGCTTGGACCACGAACAAAGCTAAGAGTGGCGCTCCATTTGTGCAGGTTCCTTACTGCTTCAGCATGTATTTCCTGGGGAATGTGGGGGCGGGGGGGGGGGCTAAATGAACTCAGAGCTGCATAAATTTTAAACAAAACAGAGAAGCAGCCCTCAGTTGCCACTGTGATCTTCTGAGACAATGAAGACGTCTGTCTTTCCCAAGCTGCCTTTTAAAGCCTCTGCAGGGACTCGCATAGTGCCCTGTTCTTTGCTTCCTTCCTTGAAGGTTTATTAAGTGGGGATGCCAGGGAAGAGAACCTAAAACACGTGAAGCATGTAGCATGTCCCTGGTTATAGCCGCTTGATGGATGTCATTGGCTTGCTCTGAGCGTAATGTTGAGAGTATTGCGTTGCTTTCAAGAGAGGTTGCTCTAGCATTGGTGGCATAACATCAAATGCAGTTGATCTGTTAATGAACAAGAATCCCTGCCAGATCTCCTTCCCAGAGTTATGTCTCGCATGCCAGGGGTAATGTCCAGCTATGATGTAATGTGATTGTGAATGATTGGGGACAGATGGAAGTGGTTGTGATTCTGTTATGAAAAGCACTTGTCACTCATATCTGGGAACAAAAACCCTTCACCCACATCCTCCCCAATTACCTGTACACCATAAAATGCATACTCTGACCTGGTAGGAGGGCAGGAGGCAGGGATGCTTTCCAGCCCTGAGCATTTCCACCAACTCAGCTAAAAATAAAAATGGCCCTTTTTAGTAACCAACAGAGTGTTGAGAGAACCCTTCATGATGAATTAGGAGAAGATATATTTATGGTAAAAATTGTTTAGCCATTGTACAGGTGAAAAAATGGAATGGAATAAAACTCTAGGCTTCCATATATTTAACACAAATAACAAGGCTCTGGATTTTTATTAGGAAATGCAGTGAAAGTATGAAGGTGCTGGAAACCTTGCAAATCTTTTAACAAAAGAGAAATATTAAGCTGTCTTGAAATCAGATTTGTAGCCCCTCTGAAGCCACAAGGGGAAAATGCATTTGGAAGGAAGGAAACAGATTCCCTGAACTATGACCATTTTCGGTCTTGCATATCACATTAGCTTTTCCCCCCTCCACATAGAACCAATGAAACCTCCATAACAGAATGAACTTCAGTGCATTTCATTCAGTATGACAGTGGTAATGACTTCTTGTTTTATGGCACTCTGCGTGCCTGAGAATTCCAAGGCAACTTTACAACCCGTAGTATGAACTGTGCCCTTTGGTTGCTGGCAGCTTTCCCAATACAGAGGCACAATAGCACTCCCAATTTTTGTGGTTGAAACCTGCAACTGAGGGCCATGTGTGCAGCAGACCCATCATGTTAAGTGTGGCTCTGCTTGGACAGCAAATAAAGCAAGAGATTGGAGCTCAGTTCTGGAAATAAAATAAAGCAATATTGTTTTATATTAAACCATATATTTAACATACCATAAAAGTATTAACACATTAGAAAAATAAAACTAGGGGTAAAGACCAATGTAAAGGTCAGCAGCAGTGCAAAGATCTTAATCGAGCTCATGGGTGATTCTTCAGCAATGAGGAAGACGGGGAGAAAGACAAAGACGAAGATATAAGAGAAGAATGTGAACAAATTTTAGCTTTCCTTTAGTGTGTAATATGGACTTAAGGATGAGCTTGACCTCTTGCAGGAGTTCAGGGAGTAGCCACCTGATGAGCTCTCGTTTGAAATAAATAATGAAATACCATTGCTAGGGGCTGTAGAACTGCCTGGGCAAAAGGGATGTTAAAACTTTCCCCTGTGAGCTGATTTCCTAATAAAAAATCTACCACAAGCTCACCTGCTTTCCCTTATGTTCAAGAAAAACAGGGTTGGGAGTCCCATGTTGATTGTGACACCGCCGTGTTAGAAAATGTATCACACACACCACTCTTTCAGGAGCACCTTCAGGAGCTGTTGCCCATAGAACGGTGCTTACAGCACTAAGCTTATTTGAAGGAGAAATGTCCAGGGTTTAATATGTTGTGTGAACTTAGCCATTGGTAGATTATAGCAATTCTGTTACAAAAAAGGTCATTAACTTTTCAGTAGCAACACAGACAATTCATTTTGAATTTTAAAATATGTCCGTGGTGGATGTAAAAGAGATGATCTGTGCTAGACCTTTTGTAAATATGTGTTGCTTTTTGATTCACTTTTGTTTGCATTTGTATTTTGCATTGCAATATTTCAGAGTACTGTTTTTGTAATACCTTTTGTGCTAGCAACAGATAAATTTCATCCATTCCTGTTCCCATGGAATCGCTGGGTCAGGACAAGTATGTGCGGGTTTTAACCATTTAAATCATGGTCTGATACTGGGTGCTTTTGGACTATAACTTTTCTACAGTTCTTACTTTTTAAAATATGCTTATAACCCAGGGACTCAGGAAGCCATTGCAGCATGTCTACATGAGCAGACAAAGCAAACAGTAAACGATAGCCTGTGTGACACCTCAAAGAAGCCTCCGCCAATGAGCCGTGTGTGCAACACAAGACTTTGTCCTCCAAGGTATGGCTCTGCGTTGCGGAAGATTGTTCACCTGTTTGCAAAGCATCTCTTCATCTGTGGCTAGCAAACTGGGCTAACCTTGTTGAACGGAAAGGAGACGATGTCTGCAGAGGTTTTCTCTCCACAAGATTGCAAAACCAGCCAAGACTACTTCTTAAAACTTTCTGCGTTTTCGTATGCCTTGCTCAATACTTCCGTACCCTGTTATGACTGAGAAACTGAATGAGAGGAAAAACCATGAACCCGGAGCTTGACTTGGTTCTCAGGGTCTTCTGTTGACTTCTGTGGGACATAGTATTGCTCTAAGGTGGCCTTCCCAAATCGGTGGCCTTCATTTGGAGCGTGACTTCCAGAATTCCCATCCAGCAGGGCCAAAAGTGTCTGGAAGGCACACGGTTGGGAAAGCCTGCTCTAACACAGGATTCTGACAGCTGGGAAGCCATTCCCCAAAGGTGAGGACTTTGGGGAATGGATTAGCACTTCCCTCTGCAGTTCTTCCCTTCATCCCAACCTGATAATGAGGATTAGCAGTGAATTAAATAGTCAAAATACTCAGTTTTTGCCATGTTGTTACATATGCAGCTTTTTACTATGCCTGTTGTGCTGTTAGTGGAATAATGCTCGAAGCTGCCCCTTCTGTCTTCTCCTGTCCGGTGCTGATTGCCATGTGCTTGTGGACTGTGGGACTGAGTTTTAGAGTGCTGTTTTCAACATCTCTCAAAACAGGTGGCATGTGGGGCCCTGGAGACAGTGTACTGCCACTTGCGGTGTTGGCATCCAGACGAGAGAAGTGCTCTGCCAGCAGCCTGGAGGGTCTGTTGTTGAGTCCGAAGACTGCAAAGAGCAAAAGCCACATGCTTTGCAAGCTTGCAACCAGATCGACTGCCCACCAATCTGGCATGTCGAGGAATGGCAACCGGTATGATGAGCAGCTTAAAAATAAATGTGTGTGTGTGGAAGAGCTTTGAGTCCCTGTGAGAGTTGGCTGGTCGTGTTCCTTCCTCGCTACTCCGAATGACTGGTCATGGTCAGCCGGAAGGGCTAGAGAGGGCACAGCAAGGGGAGATTGCTGCTTTGGTCCAGCATAGTTTTCTGATAAACTGGGCAAAGGACTCCCTTGTTTTTTGCCCGATGATCAAACATCTGCGAATTCTTCTTGACATTCCTCAAGAATTCCTTCCCCTAGAGGAAGGAAGGCTGAGATTGCACTTCATACCAGGAAAGCTATTTAAACCAGCACAATCCCTTGTGACACTAGGCAGTCTTCCCCAGTATCTGGACTCCTACCAGCCTCAGCCAGCATGGCCACTGAGTGGGGTTGCTGGGAGCTGTAGGGCAGAACATCTAGAGGGCGCCTTTCAAGCAAACCCTCGTCCTTTCTGTTGCAACAATGTCATATTTGTATCAGTAGTACAAAAATATATTGCTAAAAGCAGCTGTCCGAACCGTGCACCCTCCAGATGTGGTGGACTACAGCTCCTATCATCCCCAGACTACTGGGTGAAGATGATGGGAGTTATAGTCCCCCTTGTCAGGAAGGCACCAGGTTGGAGCAAATTGTGGACAAGCATTTGATTCAAGCATTTTTTTAAAAAATAATAGCAATGTGGAAGAGAGTCCAGTCCTCTATCCTCCATGTACCGTGTGAGATGGTACAGCCTCCTCAATGGTTTCATGCCCTAGACCTCAATTACTCTGAAGACCAGTATGTATCCAGCAGTAAAGACATAGCTGTGGCCGAAAGCATTTGAGGACCGTGTGCCTCCACCCTCACCACTGAGGTGCTTTGGAAATGTTGGCTCACAAACAGTGCCACAAATTTATGACTAAAAGCCTGTGCCTAACCAAGATTTCTGCTCATCATTTCTTCCTTCTCCTTAGTGCTCCCGGACATGCGGTGGAGGCACCCAGAATCGTGTTGTGATTTGCCAGCAGTTGTTAATGGATGGAAGTATTCTGAAACTCTCTGATGAGGAGTGCGTTGAGCCTCGATTGTCCATTCACAAACCCTGTGCTAGAACAGATTGTCCTCCGCAGCTGGTCCTGGGGGAATGGTCTACAGTGAGTAGCTTAAAATAAGAGTGCATATTAAGGATATTTTTGTGCCTGCCTATTACCCCCTGACCAAGCTTGGATTTCCGTCTGATCCATCCCTCTCTCAATTATCATGGTGTATCCTGGGAGTATGAGGAACATATCCATTTGGTGGGGTACCTCATCTGTTCTTCCTAAACTCATACACCAACCTCCTCCAACTTGGTGTTCCCCAGTTATTTTGGATGACAGCTTCCGGCATTCCTGACCATTGGCAATACTCTGGCTGGGGCTGATGGGAGTTGAAGTCCAAAACATCTGGGGGATGTCAGATTGAGGAAGACTACAATACATAAATTGAAATACAGTAATACACCTATATTCCTGCTTTTCAAAATGTAGTGCAGTTCTTCAGTGAAACATGGATATAAACATGTGATAGACTGGGGAAAAACAAGATCACAGAGATTGGATTCTGCTGAAAACAACTTGAAGAGCTGCAGTACACTAGGAAAAACTGCTTGCAAAAATTGTGTATTAGCAACCTTCCGTAGAACAGCACATCTGTTTGGAGAACTGCCCATGAAATGCAGTGCAGGCATTCATGAGACTTTAAAAAAACATAATCCAGTGCAGAAAGAGGACCAAATATAAGGCTGGAAAAATTAAGCACCGAGAGGAACCAACACTGGCAGGATGCGTTCATTTGTAGTGCTGTGTGAAAGAGTGAGGAACAGACCTGTTCTGTTTCAGGTTAGCAGGATGCCAAAATCGCATTGACCATGTACTACCTTTTGCAGTGTTCTGTAAGTTGTGGTGTTGGGACACAGAGACGGAAAGCTACCTGTCAAAAGCTCACAGCCAAAGGCCAACATGTAGCATTAAATGGATCCGCATGTAGCAGTTTCCCAGCTTACCCGCTTGTAAGGCCATGTCACAAGAATGCCTGCAAAAGTAAGTGAAACTTTTCCAGCTTGCCAAAGAGAAAGGGGTCCAGAATTATTATTTCCAGGACTGGGACCGATCTCAACCTAAAAAACAGCACTGCATCTCTTTCGGTTTGGGAATTTGATGGCCTGTAGAATGCTTAGTACAAAATAATCACAATTGCATGATGCTTCTGACAATTACGTACAGAACTAAATATGCGGTTGCTGTAGCTTGCATAAATGCCCTGTTTCTGCTTGTTGGGGGAAGGACAACAAGCGATATGAAGTACTGCCATTATATTGTTGGATGAATGGAAATCGTATTCATCCATTTGTTCAGCTTTGTCACATATTTTAAATGTCTTTAGCAGAAGGATTAAACATTTCTTTTGAATAACAGAGATCTTTAGCATACTGATTTCTTCACCAGTTTCTGCACCAATGTTCTGCACTCCCACAGAAGCATAAAATGCACCAAGCCCACAACTGCCTGGATACTTCCTGGAACTCTTCTTTTTAAATGCCATTATTTTTGTTTGCTTTTGTTTGGAGATAAGCAGTTTTTTAAGAACACTTGATATGGTGACTTAATTATTAATTTGTCCGTCTCACAGGAACCTCATCAATATCACCTTTATTCATTTCTGCTTTCCAGTCCTCTTTCCTGAGAAGGTCCATTCATGGGCAGATACCTGTCCTATAGCATCCATGGCGAGGCCAGAGGCAAAACATGCACTCACCCGGTGGCAATATCCTTGCCTCCTTGGACTTTGCAGCCATGTGCAAGAGCACATAACTGGCCACAGAAGCTGATCACTCTCGGTCAGTGAGGAAGGATGCCCACTTGGGTTCCAGCCTGACCCTTGAAGGAGCTATCCAAGGTGCTCAGCCTATTTCGGAGTTGGCGTTCAGCACCATGGATAGTTCCTCTGAGACTGGGCTGGGACCCTGACCGGATGCATCCCCCTGCTGGCACTGGAGCCAGCAGCCTCCATGGCTGGGACTGGGTCCAGTCGAGGCCTTAGAGCACTGTCATACTGGGTCAGGTAAGGCTGCTGGTGCATTCAGATCAGCTGCAGCCTTTTACGTTCGGCATTCCTCTTCTCCTTGGGTCTATGGGCCGCTGTTCGCCTTACTTCCTCTCCTGCTTTGGTACCTCCAAGCTCTGCCCTTTGCAGGGACTGTATCTCCAGGTGCGATCGCAGGCCTGGCTGCCTTAGGCCTTGGCACCCTTTTGCGGCTGGTGCCAAGCGCCAGCCCAGGGCCTGCTCCCTCAAGCTCCCAGGCCACGTGTTCTCCTGCCACTGTCACTTCCACCACACACCCTCCCAGTTCCCTGGGCCATGCTCTTCCCTTTGAACTCCTTGGTCCACTGACCTTGTGCCTCTCATAGTCTTTCCCTTGACTTTGAAACCAGCATTCTTGAACCCAGGGCCATGGGCCATATCCAGCACCCCCAGGTCCCAGTGGCCCTACAGTGTTCCCCAGATGGCCCCAGCCTCCTTTCCCTGGCCTTTCCCAGCTTTTGTACACCCCGCATTCTAAAGGATGAAATGCCTCTCCTTAATGCTTAGGTGCTGGCAAGAGGAGCTTTGCACAGAAACAGGCTGCTATTTGGGGCGAACACCACTTTTGCCTTCAGCTTTGCCCCCCAACCCCATTGAAACACAGTCCCTGAGAACTGGGAGCAGCCCATGGGCTGTGAGAGGTTCAACACCTCCAGCTTGAAGTCCTTACAGCCCAACACAGCTCTTTTGTTTATTTTTATTTATTCTGTTTAACATTATTTTTAGGCCACCTCTCAAGACAGAACCCTTTCAAAGTGGCCTGCAAGATAAAATGCACGGGAGTACACAAATAGCTAAGGGAGAGAAAGAATCTCACAGTATAAAATACTATAAAGACATATTACTCCAAGGAAACCAGCTTACACGTTAGGAGAAGACCAGCAAGAAGAGGTCTTCCAGATGACTGGCACAGAAGGTGCCTGATAAACCCCTCTGAGGTGAGGGGACATCTCTGGCATGAGCCTGGCCTAGCAATGGATGGGTGAGAAGGGCTTCTTTTGATGACCCTAAAGTACAGCAGGCTGGTGTGGGAGAAGGCGGGACTTCAAGCAACTTGAGCCCAAATTGTTTATGACGTTAAAGATTAAAATCAGCACTTGTAATTGGACTCAAGAACACACTACTTTTCCTACTGTCAGTTCTCATCCTGTGGCACCTTCCTCTCCCTGAGCTCTTTTGTCAAGCTCTCAGCATCTCTATTGTCTCTGTAGCCCAACCACTGCTCATGTTCCCTGGATGCAAGAATGTTAATGTGATCTTCAGTGTCAGCTTTCATATGCAAAGATTTTGCAGGCAGCTTTTGACAGTATCTGACTTTAGACAAGTAGCAGCAGTCAGTATTTGGCAGTTGATTTGCAAAAGAATGCAGTAAATTTCACATTAATGTCATTCATTTAGCCAGTCAAAATATACAGCTAAAATTTGGCTGTCACCCTTCAGTTCCAAAATGTGGACATTGAATTGTTGAGATTGGATTCTTCTATTTGATTTTGCTGGATTTCAAAATTCTGCAGCATTTCGTTTGAGCTCAGCATCATTTACCAAATGTATGTCCCTTAACTGTATGCTCAGGTCTCTAATATAGCCAAGACTTAGCTATGACTCCCTTTTGTTTGCATTTGTAATGGGTTTACAACTGTAGAATGCATGAAAGGCCTATTGCATGAATCTATGAATCCATGCATGAAAATGAATCTGTTATTCTATTTCATCAGAGTTTGGGACCCACAAGAGAAGAGGCAGTTGAGCAGACTTAGACTGGAGTAAATTAGGTCCAAGTAGGTGATCTTAAAGTTAGGAGAGATAAACCAGGGTATGGCAAAGTAAAGCCACCTTGGCATGGACTGTGCTAGCTGAGCTATGGAAAGCTGCTGTCTCAGTAAAAGACTGCACTTACCAGATTCCTTGCAAAGAGTGGCAAGACCTCCCCTTCTCCCGCTGCCCCCAGAAAAGTCATCTGCAATCCTTAATGGGCCCGTGGCTGATTTGTCAGTCAGTTATTTTGTCTGGCTGTGGAACAAGAGTGGTATGGGGAACTTCATCTCTGTAGGCTCTGGATGATAGGAAAGTCGCATCCTCCAGCCAGGAGGCTCGCCCCGGAGTGGGCTGACCTGTGATTTAACAAAAATGAAATTGCAGAATCCTCGCTGGGGTGATACTGGGGCTTGGATGATGAGAAACCCAGGTGCTGTTCCCTCCGGCACCAGCAGGCATCATGAAACGCAGCGCGCAAGTGAGTCACTTCAGACCTAAGCCCTGCTAGGAATACTTTCCCAGTGGTGCTGAAGCAATGAGAAGCCTGTTTTCGGTATGCAGCTGGCATACGGGGAGATGCATGGACATGTGAGCCTGGAAGTTCCTGGTTCAGCCCTAATGTGTAGAATTTTATTCTTTGGAAATGGCTTGTAGCCCAGGTTTTTTTTTAAAACACACACAGAGAGCCCAAGGCAGCAAACAGTGTACGGTTAAAACGGTGTTAAGAGACATTAAACTCTGAGCTGTAAAAAGTAAATAAAGCTATGAAACATGCTTTATTTTTCAGCCCTCACTGCATTTGTGCTGTGGATTGTGTAGTTGTGTCTTAACAGGCAAAACCGCATGACTTACACCTCAAACTGGATGTGGTGTCCTCCTTCTCTGCCCCCTCCCCCTGCCATGCATGGCAGCCAACAGAAAACTTTCCCCTTGCACCTGGCCTGTGGCTCCAGCAACCAAAGCAATTTCTCACCTCCCTCTTACAGGGTTTTTGTAAGGATGGTGAACATGTTGTAAGTACAACACTTGGGGCAGCGGGGAGGTGAGCCCTACCAATTTGTCCTGGATTTACTAGGGAATTACCCAACTGTTTTCAGCTGAAAATGGAAGAATTTGGGCTGCTGCTTTTTTTCTGGGCCCAGCTGCAGGTTATCTGCTCTCCACTGTTCACATCAGCCTCTGCAACATACCCACCCTTTCCATTTCCTGACCTTTTACTGGCAGAGGCAAGAGGAGGTTTCTGTCCCTTTTCTTCCCTTCCTCCTCTTCAGGGATGTCAGAGAAATCTGCCCCAGATCCAAAGGACTGTGGATTGCTATGAATCCTACCTGCAGATTCCACAGATTTTGTTTGTTTGTTTGTTTGTTTGTTTGTTTAGAAAGCTTCTATGCTGCCCCATTTGCCGAAGATGAATTGTGTGGATGTGCAGACCAGTTAGAAACATAGCAACGTAGAAACAGAGCGAGTCAGAAGGGGTCTCCTGGGCCATCTAGTCTGACCTCCAGCACCAGCCGGCTCCACTCATGACATGCCCACCATGTGGACGTCCAGCCTATCCTTGAACACCCGCACCGATGGGGCCTCAGCCACCTCCCATGGAAGCCCATTTCACACCCTTGGGGTCCTGACTTTCAGGAAGTGCTTCCTGGCATCTAATGGAACCTGGGTTCACATTTGAGAAGGCTTGCGCATATTCGCACTATGCATCAGTGGGGGTGTGCACTAGTACTGTTGGAGAACTGTGCATTGGCACTAATGCGCATTAGCTCAGGTAGAATGAAAAGATCCAGTTCCATCCCTGGGCAACTGGTGGAACAAAAAAATGCAGGTTTAACAAAGCCCATCCTCTCCGTCCACCATACTGGCCGCATGTTGGGCCACGAGGACCCGGGACCCCAGAAGGCCTTTTGCCACCTCCTCCTGGGCGACTGCTACCAATGGAGCAGAGCAGTGGGAGGAAGCAGGAGAGGGAGAAGACCTGCCTCCTGCCGTTTCCATGGCTGATTAAACGTAAGGGAAGGGGGCGATTTGGGAGACCTGGGCCTGCAGGGCAGCTCTGCAGGCAGGAGGAAGCTGGCAAAAGTGGGTCCAGGGCAAGCCAGAAGTGCTTCACCAGTTCAGCTCCCATCCCGTGCTGTCAGGAGTCTTGAAGTGGGGCCTGCAGCTGGATGAGGGGGTTGCTTTTTAGAGTGCCCTTAAGAGG